CTGATTTGGAAGTTCAAAAAGGGACGTGATTTTATGTTTTATGTGTTTTTATGCACTAATAATGTTGAATTTTTCTCTTATTTGTTCTTTGGTTGTTCTGTTGTTATGCGGTTGTAAGAATGGTTGGGAGCTTTTTAGGAGTTGCAATCTACTTTGAACTTGGTTGTTTAGTTTATTAAATTTTCTTGTAGTAATTTGTTAAAAATGACTATTATTACTTTGAATATACGAAGGATTTAGAGGATGATAAACTATAGTAGATTTTAGGTTTCAATTGCATTTTCTATTGTTAGTTTCCATATTAAGAGTTTGTGCGTATAATTGAAAACAAATCTAATAAATATATGAATAATATTTTTTTTTTTGTTAGTTCTAAAATTTTTCAACATTCAAACTAGTTAGAGTGGTTTCATCTACGAATGTTATATGGCAAGTTCCAACAACAAACGAACTTAAGATTAATATTGATAGTGAAACTAGGGATTCTCATGATTTAGCTACATGTGAAGGTATTTTTAGAGGAAGCTACTTTGAATATGTCAATATTTTTTCGATTTTTCTAGGAATGTAAATTTCTATTTATGTTAACTTTTTTACGGAACGCTTATGCTTTAAAATATGGTGAGATGAAAAACTTTTGAAGGCTTTGGTTGGAGAGTAATTATTCTCTAGTTTGTTATAATTTTCTAAATGAACCAGTGATTCTTTAAAGTCTTAGAAAAAGATGACAATAATGCTTGTACTAAACATATGGAATTTAAAGCTTCTCATGCTTTTGACAAGAGAAATCATTACATTAACAAGTTAGATAATTTGATTTTTATTTATAAAAACAATATAAGTGATTTGATATTTTACCTTAAAGTATATATTTATTTTATTTATTTTTCATAATAGATACAATTTGTCTATTTTTCAAAAAAAAAAAAATTATATTTCTTGGGTTTGTGTGGTTCCCCTTACTTTATATTTTCTTTATATAATAATTTTATGGTGTCGAGATGCCAAAATTCATAAATAATACTTAAGAACATATTTTTTATTTTGTTAAACCCCTTCGGAGGTCCCTATTTATGTGGGCTTTCCCAGTTTGATCCCCATCTTTTAAGTTTTGTCAATTTGGTCCTTTATATTGAAAAATTGATTCAATTAGACCCCTACCGTTAAATCAACTTAACGAGGTTAACTTTTTGATGAGCTGTGAGGGTGACATGGACAGTTTTTGGGACGTGGCACTCACAAGCCCTTATACGTGGTTTTTTTTAATGAAAACGTGACATTTTCTGAAACATTTTAATTGTGTCCTTTCGGTCCGATTATATACGGGTTGAGGGTGACGGCAAAGGTGATTACGATGGTACTGGCTGCGGGTCTGTGTGGTTTGATGATGAAGGTAACGATGAAGGTGACGGCGAAGGCACCGACGAAAGGTTTCAGGGGTTTAATACCATCTCTGCCACCCAAGTTGTTCCCATCTACTGCATCAATAACTGCCCCTTCAACCAAATGACTCAAATTCCCATCTACCACTTCATGAACCTGACCCAATATCTCACCTCTTTCTTCGCTTTTGTTTTGATCCATCGACAGTTAGTTCACTCCCAAACAATGTCACTGTACGAACCCCACCTAAAAACGGTCCCTTTATTAATTACAGAGGATGAACAATGCGATCAAATGGATGGTGGAAAATGCATATCTTCCAATGACCCACTTCTTGATTCTAGCAGATATTTTAAGAAATAATCAATTTAAAATAGAGGAAATTGGGGGTGTCACCTCTGAGATGGATGACCTCACTCTTCAATAAAACACAACCCCCAAAATAGCCGCAAAACGATGGGTTTACCTCCAAACATTAAATTCCACAAACAAATTCAACTCCGATATGTTTCAAACAGACCCATGCTAACCTGCGTGGCTTTCTTCATGGATTAGTTGAAGAACAAAAATGACTTTTTTAAAGTGGGAAACAAAATAGGAGCACGGTTAAGTGAAGAAAGGAACTGGAAAAAATACAGTGAGAGAAGGAATTTTCAGTGCAATTGAATTATTAGAATAATTAGGCAAGTGGACGAAACAAAGGAAACAGAGGTTGTGGCGATGGAGGGAAGTCTGAGTGCCGCTCTGACGATACAGCAGGACATGGCCCATCGGCGTGAATTTGGACGATGATGCCCGAGCCGTTTTGGATGAAGCATCTTGAATGTTTAGATCGTCCAATTTTAATCCCAATTCAATTCAATGAACCCTAATTTTAAAATGTTTCAGAAAAACCTTAATTTTAAAAATGTTTGTTTAAGAAAATGCCATGTACAAAGGTTTCATTAAAAAAAACCACGTATAAGGTTTGTGAGTGTCACGTCCCAAAAACTGTCCACGTCACCCTCACAGCTCATCAAAAAGTTAACCCTGTTAAGTTGATTTAACGAGAGGGGTCTAATTGACCAATCCTCTTTTTAATCGAAACAAAACTATAACACTCAAAACAAGAAGAGAAAAAAAAAAATAGAATAATCACAATGTATATATTAAGGTATTGTGTAAAATGTCATATATTTAAGCTAATTCTACACTCGGTTTATGTACTATAATGGTGCACTGATTGATTTTTATGCAAATATGTAAAATCACATTGAGTTCAATTTAATTGATTTATTTTTTTTATGAAAGTTTGTGTTTAGAAACATAGTTTTTGTTAATAAAGTTTTTTTTTATCGTAAATTGATGTCCAACTCAATAATTCAGTTTCAATATATTAGAATTCTATTTTTTTTATCGTTTTGTGCAAAATTCATGCTTGTTAGCATATTTTCACTTTTAAGACGTTATTTAATTTAATTAATTAAATAAAATTTTAAATATATTAAATTGTTTATATAACCATTTAACCAAAAAAAATTAAAAATAGCAAATGATGCCAAAAGACAAGATTGATGAAAAAAAATAAATCTAATACATTGAAGTAATATTATTGAACACAACTTTAATTAATGACAGAAAAAAAAATCATTCAACAAAAATCGTGTCTCCAAATACAATAAGACAATATATATATATTCAACTAACCTGACAACTTCTTTGATTCAAAATCGTAGTCTCTCAGACAACATAACTAAACTTATTATTAATTTTAAAAATATGCCTATTTAAATAAATAATTTTTTTTCACCGTTTTAATACATTAACCCGACTTTGCATAGTCGTCATTATCATATATACGAAGGGTAAATGGGAAGGTCGATGTCCAAATAGTTGGCGGGCTTCAGTCTGTTATAGAACACTCTGTTGTCTTTATTTAACTGATTTCACAGATGAATTCATGTCCCTTCTACCTCTTTTTTCTTTTTAAAAATAAATGAAAAATATATAATAGATGTTAAATCATAAAATACCGATTGACTTCTAATGTGCTACTGTTGAGAATTTAAGCAATTCGAATAGCAAACAGCGCAATTACCGGATAACTAAAATAAGACAGGAGAGACTAACAAAAAAACAAGATTATAAAGAATATGTAAACCTACTATAATTGTGTTTGTTTTTACTCCCACAAAAAATATTTTTAAATTTTGAACTTCTAACTTTCTAATCAACATGAGTAAATATTTAAAATGAATATATATGTATATTTATACACCCAGCCATGCATAGAAGGAGACAGAATAGCAGCAATAGTAGACTGCGTTGTGAACAGGAAAAGGGCCCACCAATGCATAGAAGGAGGCCTATTGCGTGGCCACGAAGACAGTCTCTCCTTCTCTCTCCTCTTAAAAGGGCGCCATTTGCCTTTGCTTCTCTCATTTTAAAAACTTTTCCACCACACTACCTCCAACCATAAACACACACTACCTCTTCAAAACCCCATTCATTCATTCATCTGCAACCAAAACCCTAAACCGCGCCATGCACCCTCACTCCTCCTACACCTTCGATTCCCTTTCCAAATCGCAGGAACTATCCTCCGCCATCCAATCCGCCAACAACCCTTCCCAAATAGCATCTGCCTGCGCCTCCATCGACTCCTTCCTGCTCTCTCACTCACCCGACCAATCCCGCCATTTCTTCTCCATCGCCTTCCCAACCCTAATCTCCAAGCTCTTCGGCTTTGACGACCCCTCTT